AGACAGATAGAGCTTTTTATTGGTGGTATTTAATCACTACTAGGTTTTTCATTCTTTGGTATGTAAATAGTAAAATACCAGAAATTTTGAAAATAAACATATTTTTCACCCTTCCTATTACAAAATGTTGCAAACAAATAATCTTTCTTCATAAACCAAGGTCAACATGTACAGTGGGGATCGAAAGTTTGGGCACCCCAGCTAAAAATTTGTATTAATGTGCATAAAGAAGCCAAGGAAAGATGGAAAAATCTCCAAAAGACATCAAATTACAGATTAGACATTCTTATAATATGTCAACAAAAGTTAGATTTTATTTCCATCATTTACACTTTCAAAATAACAGAAAACAAAAAAAAGTTTGGGCACCCTGCAGAGTTAATATCTTGTACTGCCCCCTTTGGCAAGTATCACAGCTTGTAAACGCTTTTTGTAGCCAGCCAAGAGTCTTTCAATTCTTGTTTGAGGTATCTTTGCCCATTCTTCCTTACAAAAGTCTTCCAGTTCTTTGAGATTTCTGGGCTGTCTGTCACGCACTGCTCTTTTAAGGTCTATCCATAGATTTTCAATTATGTTGAGGTCAGGAGATTGTGAAGGCCAAGGCCATGGCAAAACCTTCAGTTTACACCTCTTGATGTAATCCCCCGTGGATTTCAAGGTGTGTTTAGGATCATTATCCATTTGTAGAAGCCATCCTCTCTTTAACTTCAGCTTTTTCACAGATAACATCAAATTACCATCCAAAATTTGCTGAAATTTTATTGAATCCATTTTTCCTTCTACTCGTGAGATGTTCCCTGTGCCACTGGCTGCAACACAACCCCAAAGCATGATTGATCCAACCCCATGCTTAACAGTTGGACAGAGGTTCTTTTCATTAAATTCTGTGCCCCTTCTTCTCCAAACGTACCTTTGCTCATTCCGGCCAAAAAGTTCAATTTTAACCTCATCGGTCCACAGAACTTGTTTCCAAAATGCATCAGGCTTGTCTATATGTTCATTTGCAAAGTTCAAACGATGATTTTGGTGGTGAGGACGTAGAAGAGGTTTTCTTCTGATGACTCTCCCATGAAGACCATATTTGTACAAGTACAAGTATCTCTTTATAGTGGAATAGTGTACCACAACTCCAGTGTCTGCCAGATCTTTCTGGAGGGATCGTGCAGTCAAACGTGGGTCTTGAATTGTTTTTCTCACAATCCTGCGAGCTGTTCTGTCTGATATTTTTCTTGGTCTTCCAGATCTTGCTTTAACTTCCACTGTTCCTGATGACTGCCATTTCTTAATTACATTCCGAACAGAGGATATTGACATCTGAAAACGCTTTGCTATCTTCTTATAGCCTTCTCCAGCTTTGTGAGCATCAACTATTTTCAGTTTCAGTTTTCTAGACAACTGCTTAGAAGAACCCATGGTGCTGATTGTTGGGGCAAGGTCAGATGAGTCTGGGCATTTAAAACCTTTGAGATTGACATCACCTGGTCTTCCCAGACCATGATTGAGAACAATCCATGACACTGGCAGGTCTCAGCTTGGCAAAGGGGGCAGTGCATGCTATAAATTCTGCAGGGTGCCCAAACTTTTTTTTTTTTGTTTTCTGTTATTTTGAAAGTGTAAATGATGGAAATAAAATCTAACTTTTGTTGACATATTATAAGAATGTCTAATCTGTAATTTGATGCCTTTTGGAGATTTTTCCATCTTTCCTTGGCTTCTTTATGCACATTAATACAAATTTTTAGCTGGGGTGCCCAAACTTTCGATCCCCACTGTACTCTGCTCCTTTTTTTTTTTGGTAAACATAACCCAAATCAGTGTATATTATTTAGCCTGTGTTCAAGTTATGGAGTCTACAAAGCATGGTTTAAGTATATGAAAACGGATCAATCTTGATGTACTTACTGCCCATCTTATTTCTTGAGGCCCTAAACTAGTAAGAGGCATGGTTAGTTTTTTGAAGTTGTAATTTGTCACTTTTTTTTGTTTGGAAAATAAAGAAATGAAATAAAATTAGTTTTTTTTTTTTTCACTTTTTTTTATATACTGTCACCAGAGCAGTATAGCATCACCATTTGGCTGGTGTGGCAATAATCTTTGTTTTTTTAGTTGTGATTGGCTACAGCTATTATACTGGTACAGATGCACCGTGATTGGCCCAGTCTACTATGTGATCACTATGACCAATCACAGATCACCACAACAGTACACAATGAATGGCTATGAATGAAAGTCATTCATTCTAAACAACTGTGGACAATCACATTAATGCCGGCCGCTGGCATTAGCCATCAAATTCATCATTTTTGAATTTGTACAGTGAGCTGTGCCTGTGTGGCTCACTGTACAGGGGTGGACAGGCAGGTAGGTAGCTTAATGCAGAAGAGACAAAGCATGTCTATTCTGCATTAAAAAACCTGCCTGCCCACCCATTTTTATCTAAAGTTCCACTTTAACTGACATCATAAGCAGCTCAGATCTACTATGAATAAGCCACAGTAATTGCAATGTAGCAATAAGAACATTGTTGTATGGTAAGTCTTATTGACACTGCAGACACTGTTCAGCAAATGCCAATTTACACAAGAGAAGCAAGAGTTGCTCTTGTGATACAGGACAATTCCAACTGTCCAGTATGTGGTGGTATATGTAATAATTTATTCTAAATACGTAGGGCGGTGTCCTCTCCCTTAAACAAAATATTGCAGTGCCTCCAGCCATTAAAACAGGGCAAATATTTAATGAACCAATAATTTGAACACCTTAATAATTTGATCACCACTTAATAAATTTACCTTGAGTCCTTTTACCAGTATGATTTCATACCATATACACAAAATTTGCCTTTTTGATAAATGTACAAAATTTATATATATATTAACACAAACGCAAAATACTGGTGATGAATATATACTCGTACACACAATCAAAAATATAATATGCTAATTTCTATGTTATCAAACAATATGTGATTATCAATTTAAAAGGAAGATAAAAAAATTTTTAGGAATAAGTTGTAACCCTATAGTGCTTCAGATATTATTTCTCATTTTCTGTGGCCATAGGAAAATAAGAAAGTTTCTCTGATAAATTGCACCACAACAACACTACAAATTAGTTAATATGCAATATATAATCTCAATACAATATTCAAACAGTTATGTTAATGATAATTCAGAGGACCTTAATAAATTCCTTACTACACAATAAAATGTTGTAAGTCTTTAGAAAATTTGAAATGTCAAAGAAAATTACAATAGTCTAGCAGTCTGACCACTCCCAGAATTTACCTGAGCATCAGCGTCTCTGGTGGAAATCTTTTCCTTCAAAATGGCAGCTGGAAGTTCTCAGCAAAATGGCTGCAGGTAGCAAGTAAGTTATAGTGCAGTATATAGTAGCAACAGGGTAGATAAGAGATAGTTTAGAAGTTATAGCAGTCTTAGAAACTGTTGCAGAAGTTTTTAGCAGATCAGAAGATTGGAAGCTTGGAAGAAATTCAGATGGATGGATTGATGGCTTGAATGACTTGATGGATTGATTTCACTTTGAGGTGTCTGGTCTTTTAAACCATACAAGACCTTTGTTTCGAGGGACCGCCCAACAGACTTGTTGATTGGACGGTTGAACATTTTGTGTACCTAGAGATGTTCCTGATTATCCACTGTAGACAGTCAAGTATTACAGATGCATTGGTAGTCTTAATGATGATTCATCCTTTGATAGAAACCATATGTCTTGATGTATCAAATATATGTCCTATTCAAGTATAGTTAATTTCACTACTAATTCTTGGATAAGGACCATAGAAAGGTGTGAATACATTTGGTTTCTCATTTTTCTGATACCTGAACTGTATTGGAATGGCTGATTTCTTTTGGAAATATAGACATTACCTTATTCACAAACCACCTTATCTTTCATCACTTCAACTTTAGTTGAGTGGGATGCAATACCCAACCTTATCGAATAGATTTGTGTGTGGAAATATACCCTTGATAATATTTCCATTGATATAAACCAAATTTTTCTTTGTATCTTAAATGACGCAGGTTTTACTTTGTGCTGAATACAGTTCAAGGAGATGTGACATAGGAAATTTCATCAATTGTTGGGTAAATAGGGTAAACAGACTGGACTAGAGTTAAACCTCAGTATTCAATAGCATATTGTCAGCTCAAGAAGTCTTGTTTGGTCATCACACACTTCCCAAGGTTTTGGGAGAGATAAGACAATGAGGATTTCCTCTTACCATTGTCACTTTCAGACCTCGTATATGCTCACCTGCAGACATCCAAATAGTGGTGTTTGACTCTCATTGTCTCTTAGACCAGTTTCTTCCACTGATTGTGTGTGTGGTAACTTCTTGGAATCTCACTTGAAATTCACTCTAGAATGTTAACCCCTAACAGTCAGCTGGGATTCCCAAATTTGGGATAATATGAATTTTTTAATAAACAGTCCCAAAAGTCATTACAAGTAAATGCAGTCAGGGAGCTGCAGGGCAGGAGGAGCAGGGCGAACCACACACAAAGCATTTAGATGAAACTTTTCAGGGCATGTATGGTATGACTAAAGTCCAGAACTGCTTATTGTGCAAAGTGTAATAGCCCAAAGCAACCAGATATGTGTAAGTCAAGTCAGTAAAAGCTGTAGTTGAACTGGCTGCTAGGGGTTACTGGTCTGTATTCATGCCTGAATAATACTGCATATATATGTAAGTGTACACATGCTCCCACAGAATACAAGCATATATGAAACACACTGAATACCACACAAAACAAATCAAATTCATTTTTATTTTAAAAGACCATTTCATAAATTTGGGTCCTTGCATTCCAGTCACCAGGCAACTTATGACCGGATGGTTTGTAAGGCAAACTTTGCTAGAATAGTGTTAGACAGTCTGACATGACTAACAATATATACAAAATATGTACAAATGTTAAATAGAGTCCTCGGCAATTTCACGCTGCCTCAGGAAGATCCAATGACAGTGAGTACTGTCACTCAGCATCCAGACGTGGGATAACTGGGAGAATGAGATTTCCAAAAGCAGAATCTTGAGTTATAAAGTATCCAGAGGAATGTGCATGCGCATGCTGTAGGGAGAAAGCACAGGGTGAGAATGTATACTTATTATCCTGAAGACAGGTATTGGATTACTTCATGGTAGAGCAGTGATATGCAGTGAACAACAATAATACATTCGTAGACATCAGCTTCTAGTGACAGTATGCAGAATGTACCCCTGAACCCAAAGCCCAAATTCAACCCAAACTCCCCCCTATTTTAAGAGGGTAAGGTTTTTTTCTGTCTGAGTGCAGAAGAAAAGTTTGTTATTGTGACAAGGCAGCAAAATTTCCCTTAAAACCAAAAATTTAGGAAAGTCCTGATCATCTCCACATGACTCATGGCAGTAAGCTGCATTCTGGCCTTGGACCTGGCATGCAGCATAACTGCAAACAAGGATGTTGCAAAAAGGAGTTCTATGGTCACAGTATACACCAGCCTTTTTCAACCTTTTCAACACAGAGGAACCCTTGAAATACCTTTCTGATCTCAGAGAACCCCTGCTAAAAATTACTGTATCTACAACTCATGATACATTAGTCAGTAGGAAGAATGCTACTTACACTTGTGGTCTTTGGGAAGAATTACTCCCTATAGATAGCTAAAAAGATCAATGATGTCAGTGGGAACTTGAGAGGCCAATATTGGTCATTGCTCAAGGAACCCCTAACAACCTTTCATGGAACCCTAGTTGAAAAGCCCTGGTATACACTTTCATTTTATAGCATAAGCATCGTAATAGCAATACAAACAATAGTTTTTCAATATAAGCTTACATGAAAATCTCCTTTCATGTTGTGAGTTCTGCCTGTCTGCTGGCCATCTGTTTCCACAATCTCCTGGATTCCCAGCATGATTTCCAGCTTTTCCTCTGCTGCTTACTTTCAAATTCCAAGGACTACATTTCCCATGGTACCTTGCTGCCTGCATGGAGTGATTCCTGCACTGACTCCGCCTCCTGAAACTCCTCCTCTCAGCACCTCTGTAGGTCAGAAGGCAGACTCTGAAGTGTGTGACACAGTAGTGCCTACTCACAGGACATAGTGATTTCATAGAAACTAAATGTGTGGAGATCTTCACAAAATTAGTTTACAAACTTCAAGATTATTCAGAGTAATAGGAGTAGGCTAGAAACAGTCGAAACGCAATGTGGAAATGAACACACAAGTTTACATTTCGATTACAGATACAGATACTGTTATAATGTGGTCACCATGATTGGTTAAAACTGGGTACACATAGTCCAAATTATCATCCGGGTCAGCAGGAACTGGCTAACATTTGGACCATGCGTATAGCTGTCCTTTTGAGAGAAAACAGTCGGAAGTTCAACGTAAACAAAAAAATGAGTATGTGCACCAAGCATTATTCATACAGCAGTGGTCCCTGTCCATGCTAGTAATTGTAAATCCATCGACTTCCGATGGAATGGAAGGAGCACAGAAAGTACATTTTCAGAAAACATAAAATGTCTACATGTGTTTCTAACAAAAGTTCTAACCCCCACTTTATTTTTCTTGAAATCTGCATGGCAAAAAGAGCAATACTGAATCAATACAGCAAATGCCAATGTGTTAATAGCACTTCAAACATTCTTAAGTTACGGATTTAATTTAATTAAAAAAATAACCATGTTATACTCATCTGTTCTATGCAATCGTATTGCACAGAGGATCCTCAAACCTCCTTTTCTGGGGTCCCCTTCGCTGGTGCTCTTGGCTCCTCTTTTCTCTATGCCCCCATAGCAAGTAGCTTGCTACGGGAGCATACTGTACATGTGGGCTCGCCCCTAAGCTGGGCTGTGTGCATCCACAGACACACACACACATACAGCACAGTTCGGCCCCACCCCCACTCTCTGCTCAGAGGATTAGACTGACAGGAGTGGGAGCCAAAGACTGCTGCTGCTTTCAGCCTAATGTAGTGAGAACAAAGAGCAGGAAGAGAAGGCTGGCAGCCAGGTACAGTGCTGGATCAATATGAGGTATGTGTTTGGGGGGGAAAGGGGGCACAGTAAATGGCAAAACTTTTTTTACCGTAATGCAGGGAAAACGTTTTAGCTTTAGAACCACTTCCGGCTGATAATTCTTCACAAATAATAAGTTACATACTATAGAAGAAATTTATCAAAATGGGAGCAGACGGAATCTGCAGCAACTGTGCATGGCAACCATTGCTACTTCTACAAAGTCATGTCTGGGCCTGCAAAGGCATTTGTTGCACCCAAAGTGGATTTACAGTACATCCTTTGTGGGTGTTAAGGAATATATTTAAATGAAAATATGTGTTCCATACAATGGGGATTTAGCATGTGGTACAGGGAATTTTTGTGATGAAAAATTATCTCCATTAATTACTGATTAATAGACCAAGACAGTATTAATACAGGTAGGTCTACCCTCTACAACCTTCCTGTGTAGCAATTACACATTTTTTAAAATACTAAATCAGCCTCTCTCAACCAGGGTGCCCAGGAACCCTGGGGTGCCTTCAGGCTTTTTCAGGGGTGCCTTGGCAAAATGCTTAAAAACTAATAAAACATTATATACAAGCCAGCAGGTGGATCAAGCCTGCCTTTTAGTTAACCAAAGCCATAGGCTTTCATTGTGCACTTTTTCAACCTTCCGGCATACCAACAAGCAATTACATCATCAGTTGATGAGGACATCGGGTGCCTGCACAGCATCCTTGTTTGCCCCTCTCCATCAGCACTAAGGTCACATTAGCAGAGTGAGGGAGAGAGACTGAAGAAGAGGAACATTGAAATACTAGTCAGTACCAGTGTGCAAAAGTGTATTTGCTTTGGAAAAATAAATCACCTCTATCATTGGGTGTCCACACATGTGGATGTTGCTGCGTTATATAAAACTATTAGAATAATGTTTTTACATTTTAGAATGGGGTGCCTTGAGATTGTGCAGAATGTTAAGGCTGCTTGAGATTGTCCATAATTTTAAAGGATGCCTTGACTGAAAATAGGTTGAGAAACACGGCACTAAATAATATATGTACCTGAAGTGCTGCCTTTTGCTGGGCAGCTATATGCTGTTGCTCTGCATGGTCACGGAAATCCTTGTTTACATTTGGTCTTGAGAGGGCTATGCTGTTGGGAGGGCAAAGTCAAAGCACATTATTACATTTGTCAGCCTAAAAAAACGATAACATTAAAATTAACATTAGCTAAACAGCTAAATAGTTAAAAATATACAAGTAAGTTATTTTTCCAGCCAAAGATATTTATTTTTCCATCCATTTCTAAGATTAAAACAAACCCTGGCACACAGCACAACCCTGTCTGGCAGGGCAAGAGACCTGATTTTTCTCTGCTTCAGCTAAGTAACACTTACAGGGTTTGTTCCTCCTCTATCCCATAACTGCAAAGTGAAATGAGATACAGCACACTGATTGGCTCATCGTTGTCACTCTGCTTTTTCCTCCTATAAGTATGTTCCTTGTTTGAGCACTACAACCAGGGCTGCTGTTAAAGGCCACAGGGCCCCTGACAGCCAACCTGACAACCCCTCGACCCCAAAAACCCCCCACAGTGTACTATGCTTCAGTTATGAATGAACACAGTGAGTGATCAGCACACATCACTCATTGTGTTCATTCAGGAAAGAAAGGGGCTGGTAAATGTGACATTTCCCCCACTCTCTATCCTGAAGGATCCTATTGTGTGCTTGCAGCTGCTGGTTGGAAGGACAGGAGGAAAGCCGGCAGCACTGCGGGGGGTGGGGGCACCCAGGGGGCCTGGACAGCAGGAGAAAATGTATGGTGCACAGGGAGGGTAATGGGTGCAGATCTGATCCTATGTATGGCTCTCTGCAGCAATTGAAAGCCAGCAGAAGGAAGAGGAGAAGATTCACCCAGCTGCCTGGTGGTGCCCCCTTATCCACGGCCATGACTTCAACACAACTGACTGAGGTCTGTCTCCCGAGTTTTTGACCTCACTCAAATCTGGCAAGCTGGCTGGTGTTGAGTAATAGCCTCTGCTTTCCCTTTCACCATTTACTGTTTTATTTTTATACATGAGTCTCAATGTTTGGGGGAAGAGGGTGCAATCAGATTCACATGATGCTGGCTCAGATAGTATAGAGTAGAATTCCATCACTTTGGCATAAATGATTTTTTTTTGTTCTAGAAAAGCAAGCATTTAGAGGTGATCCTGCACAAACGTTTTTACTAACCATATACAAATCCACAGTCCAATTTCACTAGATGTTATCATTGAAGCAGCACTAAACCTAAAAACAAAATATTATATAATGCAGCTTACCATTTTTTACGTGTGGTGGCTGTATTAATTTTCTTTTTAGGTTTTTATTTTATTTTTCACCTGGTGATCTGGCCTTAGTCTGCTACTGTTAAGCTTCCAGACCAAGCTGTCCAGTAAAAATGTCAGTGAGAGGGTTGAGACAAACCATTTATCACTGACAATGGTAAGTATTTATTCATTTATGTACAATCTTTATCTCAAAAAGACAAAATGTTTGTTGTTTGCTTTTAAAGTGTTAGTTGGAGATGAGCTTTAATTTATTACTCAAATCCATCTACATCTGCTAGTCTAAAACTACCCTCTCCCAGATTGACAGTCCAAAGGTGTCTCCTTTGCTTCTCCATTTATCCTAAGACAGGAAGTGTGTTACTGGCCAGATCACCAGGTGAAAATTAAAAATAAAAAAGCCAAAAAAACCTAAAGCTGTGTATACATGGATTGTTTTTCTGTTGTTCAGCTAGCAGACTGAAAAAGAAAAAAAAAAGAGAAAATACTCCTCCATTTACATAAGCAAAATGTATGGAGGAATCCTCCCCGCTGTGCCATTGTATTCTTACAGCATTACTCATCTACTGTCAGAATACACCGATTAGAGTTACAGCCGTTACGGCTGCAGTTGCTGATCAAATGAAGGTTTTCCAGTGTGGTCGTTCGACAGAAGTCGATTTACTGATCAACTTTTGCCAAACAGGGAGAGCCACACACACAACAAAATTCTGCCAGTCTCTGCTGAACAGTCTGAATTTCGATCCATCTGTACCCACCTTAATGCAATCACCACATCTAATGATAGGTAAGCATCTGCTCTAAGGTGTAATAAGAAGTTTGCATTAAGAACTTGTGGCAAACAAATCTGCAGGAATTACATGATGCTGTCAATATAATGTCCCTAAAAATGTGTGTAGGACCTTCAATAAGTAAACTTCAGGGGGCATACTTCACTTGGACTAATGCAGGCCATAGATGGGTCGAAAATCGGCCGATTTTTCGGCCGATTTTCGGATCGTTAGTGGGCTATTTGTTCGGCCGTTTTTCGGGATTTTGGCCGTTTTTTTTTTTTTTGGTAAAGTTGGAAAAAAAATCGGCTGATCGGCCGATTTTCGCGGCAATAATGGGCTAATCGGCCGATTTTTTACCGATAAAAAATCTGCGCATGAGCAGTGACCTGCAAGAGGAAGACAAACAGAAGAAAAAAAAAAGAAGAAGAAGAAGAGGATGAAGAAGAGGAGGAAGAAGAAGAAGAGGATGAAGAAGAAGAAGAGGATGAGGATGAAGAAGAAGAAGAAGAGGATGAGGATGAAGAAGAAGAAGAGGATGAAAAGAAGAGGATGAGGATGAAGAAGAAGAGGATGAGGATGAAGAAGAAGAAGAAGAGGATGAGGATGAAGAAGAAGAGGATGAGGATGAAGAAGAAGAAGAAGAGGATGAGGATGAAGAAGAAGAAGAGGATGAGGATGAAGAAGAAGAGGATGAGAATGAAGAAGAAGAGGATGAGAATGAAGAAGAAGAGGATGAGAATGAAGAAGAAGAAGAAGAAGAAGAGGATGAGAAAGAAGAAGAGGATGAGAAAGAAGAAGAGGATGAGAAAGAAGAAGAGGATGATGAAGAAGAAGAGGATGAGGATGAAGAAGAAGAGGATGAGGATGAAGAAAAAGAAGAAGAGGATGAGGATGAAGAAGAGGATGAGGATGAAGAAGAGGATGAGGATGAAGAAGAGGATGAGGATGAAGAAGAGGATGAGGATGAAGAAGAGGATGAGGATGAAGAGGATGAGGATGAAGAAGAGGATGAGGATGAAGAAGAGGATGAGGATGAAGAAGAGGATGAAGAAGAAGAGGATGAGGATGAAAGAAGAAGAGGATGAGGATGATGATGATGAAGAGGATGAGGATGAAGAAGAGGATGAAGAAGAGGATGATGAAGAAGAGGATGATGATGATGAAGAAGAAGATGATGATGATGATGAAGAAGAAGAGGATGAGGATGATGATGATGATGATGAAGAAGAAGAGGATGAAGATGATGAAGAAGAGGATGAGGATGATGAAGAAGAGGATGCGGATGAAGAAGAGAATGAGGATGAGGATGAAGAAGAAGAAGAGGAGGATGAAGAAGAAGAGGATGAAGAAAAAGAAGAAGAGGATGAGGATGAAATAATAATAAGAAGAGGATGAGGATGAAGAAGAGGATGATGATGAAGAAGAAGAGGATGAGGATGAAGAAGAGGATGAAGAAGAGGATGAAGAAAGAAGAGTATGAAGAAGAGGATGAGGATGAAGAGGATGAGGATGAAGAAGGAAGAAGAGGATGAGGATGAAGAAGAGGATGAGGATGAAGAAGAAGAGGATGAAGAAGAAGAGGATGAAGAAGAAAGAGAATGAGGATGAGGAAGAAGAGAGAGGATGAGGATGAAGAAGAAGAGGATGAGGAAGAAGAGGATGAGGATGATGAAGAAGAAGAGGAGAAGAAGAAGAGGATGATGATGAGAAGAAGAGGATGAGGATGATGAAGAAAGGATGATGAGAATGAAGAAGAGGATGAGGATGAAGAAGAAAAAGAGGATGAGGATGAAGAATAAGAATAAGAGGATGAGGATGAAGAAGAAGAGAATGAGGATGAAGAAGAAGAAGAAGAGGAGGATGAGGATGATGAGAAGAAGAGGATGAAGAAGAAGAAGAGGATGAGGATGAAGAAGAGGATGATGAAGAAGAAGAAGAGGATGAGGATGAAAAAAAAGAAGAAGTAGGATGAAAATAAGAGGAATTCCAGTCCAGCAAAAAGTGTCTCTGCAGAGAGCTCCGCTATTTCTTTGACAGTTCTCTGCCAGTTCCTTGACATTTACAGCGGTTGCAACATTGTATCTATTTGTTTCTGAATAAAAACATCTGTATCCTAAATGGAAACAAATAGATACCATGTTACAAGCGCTGTAAATGTCAGAGAACTGTCAAAGAAATAGCGGAGCTCTCTGCAGAGACACTTTTTGCCGGCTGTAGACGGGATGAAAATCGGCCGATTTTTTTTACCATTGGTGGTAACGTCGGCCACTTGAACGACCGATTGTTCGTTTTTTTAAAAGAAAAATCGGCCGATTTTCGACCCATCTATGGCCTGCATAAGTGTTCACAGCTCAATGCACATCTAAAAAGGTATGCAAAGGATGTTGTATTTCTAAAATTACCAGGAGTCGTCTAAGGCCTCATGCACACAGGTGTATGAATTTATGTTCAAAATATTCTGGCCTTTTTCTGCCAGATGCGTTTATGTACCTTTGGTGTTGAGTAAATGCCTTCCACTGGCCAGAATATTAATTTATTCTGGCCAATGAAATATATATTTATGGATCACATGAGCAAAAATTATGCTCATGAGCTCCTCTCAAAACACAGCTTTGCTGTGTTTTTTTTCTGCCTTTAAACATGGATGTAAACACCTGATGTACATAGCCATAGAACTGCATTGACAAGGCTTAAAAAAAAAAGAAAAAGCTGAAAACCTGTAAAAACTGTGTTTTTAAGGGATGTGTGCTTGGGCCTTAAAGTGTCCCTAAATCCAGGACTCTGCTTCACTATATCCGTTCTCCCACAGAACACAAAACATGGAAAAGCAATTATTGTAGTAAATGTAAACTGCTAAATACATTTTCTCATCAGCAGTATATAGCAGTGTTCTGACTTCTATCAGTGTCCAGCTGAGCACTGGTTAATCTTGTAGGAGGACTTTTCATTCTCCTCTGACTGTCCTATGAGGCTGCATGACCCTTGACCCTCTGTCTGGACAGTGCTGACTGGCCCTGTGCTGATCAAATGCACCCTACCAAAGGAAAAAAAAAACCTCTAGCAATACACACTAAACTGAGCATGTGCAGTTACTCCTAGAGTTCTGTACTATCAGCAGATGGATTGGGGACACGGGAAGAAGGGAAGGATCAGAGAAGACAGGATCAAACAGTCTTCTTACACAATGTGGATAATTAACCCCTTAGGTTCCACAGGGAGCATAGCAAGCATGCTTTTATGCATATACAGACTGTTTTTTGTGTTGTGGGTTTAGTAGCACTTTAAACATGCATTATTTTACCATGTATCATACACAAAGGGCAGAAGAGGACTGCTGAGGAAAGTTGGCAAAGGCTCACATTTCAAACTCTATGTGCTTATATCAGAAGATACAGCTTTTATAACATGACGGTATGTTGCCAGTTGTATGTTGCAACTACAAAAGCAGCAGATGTGCATTACCTTGCACCTGGGCTGTTGGTTCCAGACTGATTTTGCAGAAGTAATTTCCTCTTCTCTTTGTCTAGTTCTGCTAAAATAGCAACTCTGTTTTTGTTTGGAAAACCTGAAGAACAAACACAAATTCATAGAATGGGCAGGCAAATTAAACTTCCCAGAAATTATCTTAGTTTGTTAAATGGAAAAAAATAAAGAATGAGTGTAATTTGTATTCAAGTCAAGATAAAGAACCAATTTAACATTTACAGCTATCAGGTTTAGAAGAGAATGTTACTTTAATAAAGATTCAAAGGGCTAAAGAAATAAAAAGGATTGACAAACCTGACTGCAGTTAAACAAAAATTAAATCAATGACATTTATAATACCTTTGGTAAATGTGTATCAGTAGAATGCCAAATGCTGCAGTCATTACCATAACTGACCCACATGAGCAATGCAGCAAAGCTGGAAAGAAAATATATAATCAAGGCAGGTTGCAAAGAGCACTCATGGAAACGTTAGATAGAGGCTATTACACTTTTACATGTTGTAACTCAAATAATTGCCTATACTTACTTTTATTTTTAATTCTAGATTTGGATAAAGTAGAGAATAATGAGACCCTCTGTCAGGTTTGTTTTTTTCTTTGTGCTGTATCCTTGCTGGATAGATTGCCAAACCATTATCACGGAGACAGAGGCTGATCTACTAAAGAAGTTGAGAATCTTTACTGAAATAAAATTGTGTAAATACTTCATTTATTCAATTATATGAAAAGCATCTGCACATGATTGGGTATTCAAGGTGCGAGGAATTTGCATTTTCACATGACTGGATAATTGAAATTCCCAATTTTTTCTCTGCAAATATTCTCAACTTTAGTAAATCAGCTCAGGTAAGTGATGGGAAATTTAAAATATTACATTTGCTTCAAGAACAAGAAGCAAAAATAAAAGTTCCATTTTAGACAGCAATTCCAGTGACTGTTCATATGTGTGTTATGAAAAAATTAAACAATGCTCAATAACACACCTATAGTATTTCTGACGGGTTAAAAAAGCATCAAAGATAGCTTGTCAAATGTCCATGAAAGTGTTGTTTTTCTAGGAGAAGACACTAAGCCTGGGTTCACACTGATGCGGTCTGGAATTCACAGCGTTTTCTGTGCAAATTCAGCACCGCATCAGAATTGCACCGTTCATGCGAACCGCTGCAGATATGTATGTTAACAACACCCCGAAATAGATCCGCAAAACGTGGTGCGATGTACAGAAACAGATCACATAGGTGTGAATACCCATGTGATCCGATTCTAGTGCGCACCCAAAAAAGGGTCCTGCACCTTTTTGGTGCACATGCGGTGCAATTGGAGCCATACATAATATATGGCTCAAATCCCACCGTACACAAGTCGCATGTGATTTGCACGGGAATGCGGTGCGGTTCCTGTGCGAATCACATGCGATGTATCGAACTGTATATATGTGAACCCGGGCTTCAAGAAGTGATGTAGAGGAAATGATCTGCTTTGAGGTGTGTTTAGATTGTGGAGTGATAGCAAGCATTTTTGTGATTTCTCTGTAAGATGGAGTCTTACACTTTTGGTCTCTTTCACTTGGCTTGGTCCAGCTCATGATGATCATGGAAAAATTGTCACTGTTGCTTACTGGCACCCAAAATTGCTGACCTTTTAACCTGGAAAAGTGAACTTCCTTTCCCGCTACCACACAAACACATAGAATGTACACAGTACCCCTAGATGTCAGAGGACTGACCAGCCTCTACAGGCTGCATTGGGGGGGAGGTGATGTCACCAGAATGAAAAGAAAGTGAACAGAGCCCAGAAATGTATGGCTTCACCTTGCCTCCCCTCTGCATGTCCCTGCAATGGTGGTAATAGGGAAGGAACCCCCCCCCCATTGTGTGAACCTCCCCCCCAGCTCGCCAAGTGTCCCGGGCTCCGCTTGTCCATCTGCAGGCCCGGTACTGGCTCAGTGTGCGCCGGCATCTAGAGGGTAGGGAGGAGAGCGAACACGTCCACTCCCCTCCCTGTCCTGACCCAGAAGTGATGTTTGACGTCAATTCCAGGTCCCCATTCACAGACTCCCAGGAAAGAATGTAATGCAGTGTGATGTACAGGGGAGACATTCAGAGTCTTTTAGACCGTGTGTGTCTCATTACAGAGAACCTATCACTAAAACATCATCACATAGGGTATTTTTTGTGCCCTATGTGATTGAAAAAAAAGTTAAGTGATTTTTTTTTTTACTATTAAAAAAAAAAAAATTCTAAAGTTGCACTCAAGCACATTACATCCCCTCAAAAAAATTTATTTTAGCCCCCCCCTCACATATACACACGTACAAAAGTAAAAGCACACGCCGGGGCGCCTACGCATGAAAACGTTGATTGCGATACACATGTTACACATTGCCATGCAAACCAGAATGAGAGCAATAATTCTAGCACAAGATCTCCTCCATAAAGCTAAACTGATGATCTATAAGGATCTTTAAAAAGGGTCGCCTATAAAAAATATAGGGTACTGAAGTTTGTAAACATTTCACGAGTGCACGCAAATTTTAGGTTTGACATGATGTATAAATACATCAGTGGTTCCTATAGTGAACTCGGTGTAGAGTTATTCACCCTGAGGTCATCACAGAGGACAAGGGGGCACTCTTTACATCTGGAGGAAAAGAAATTTAATCTCCAAATATGGAAAGGTTTCTTCACAGTGAGAGCTGTGAAAATGTGGAAAAGACTCCCTCAAGAGTTGGTTGTGGCCAGCTCAGTGGATTGCTTTAAAAAAGGCCTGGATTATTTCTTAGAAACACAGAATATAACTGGTTACTATTTATAGGTAATGTTGATCCAGAGAATATCCGATTGCCTCTCAAGGGATCAGGAAGGAATTTTGTCCCCTGCAGGAGCCAATTGGATCATGCTGTGCTGGTTTTTTTTGCCTTCCTCTGGATCAACTGTAGGTGCAGGACTATAACTTTTTTTTTTTTTTTTTAATGGTTGAACTGGATGGACTTTTGTCTTTTTTCAGCCAAACTATGAAACTATATTGGATATCTACTTACTTAGTGGAACCTCATCTTTTATATTTTCCAAAAAAATAGGGTAATTTATTGCTTTTTTGAGCCCTAAAATAAATTTTGTATATTTTTTACTGAAATTTTGCATTTCCTAGACATTTGCGATAATATCATACAAAATAAAAAATTAGAACTACCACTATTTTATTCTCTAGGTTCTCGGATTTCATAAAATATATGTTTGGGGGTTTTGTATAATCTTCAAGCCTAAAATGATTTTTAAACCTGTGCAAAAAACGCACAAATGGCACTGGCAGCAAAAGGGATAAAGGATAAGCCTGACACTCCCCTTTCCTGACAAGCATCCAATCAGTGCTCATTGCACTGCATGGTCTCTCTCCTCCCTGCTAGTCCCCGGTTGCGGTGCTGGAGACTGGCAGGAAGGGGAGGAGGTGATAAAACGACACAATGTTAAGAAAAGTAAACGTTTAAGTCGCCATAAAGCCCCTTTTGATTTTAACAGTCCTAGACATTCCTAACACCTCAGATTTAAATATGGTTTTGGTTAAAACTGATTTTTTTTTTTTGATCAGCTCAAGTAGAGTCATGAGGGACAAGTAGAGTGTGACACCGATTTAGTCCATGGAGAAGTAGTTTTTTCAAAAATGTTCACACCCCTGCATTAGGATTAGGCGTTTTGAAAATATATTTGAGCTTTAGGCCTCCTTCAGACCTAGGCATTGTAGTAATGTGCACTTTACCCAACAGTAACACAAGGCACTTTATGTGGTGTATTCATTTAGAACTGCACCCAAATGCACAAGTACATTAGGTGTCAACGGACTTGCACTGCAGTAAACTGTGTTTCAAAAAGCAGCAGGTCTGTTGTTTTCCAATTGCCATGCAATGGCAGCACATTCATCATGAAAGGTGTCCTAAAACGTATTTCTATCTTTTCAGCCAAATTTAAGAAACCCCCACTATTTGTATTCCTATTCAAAAAAGCACAACTAAAAATAGTTAGGAAAATGCATTTCCTAACTTTCTAAGTGGTTCTTTGGAGCAGTATTATACACAGGACTCTTGAGCAACTTAAATTGTTCAAAATAACTTGCTGAAATATATACAATAGGGACAGAATGCGTGTTCATTTAGTTTAAAACTGATAATGAAAATCTGCCAGCACAGTACACGGGATTGTTTATAGTTAACATACATACCCAGCCCCCTCCATAGTATTACATGGAATGTGAAACCTAACCAGGATTTTTAAAAGATTTCCCAGCAAAAAAAAAGTAAGCAACAAATTTTAAATATTTTTATTAACCACTTCCCGTCTGGCCCATGTAAATAAACGTCTGGACAGGAGCAGTGCAGGAGCAGGTTGCCGTTCATAAACGGCACCTGCCATTTTAGTTAATCAGTGATCATATGAATAGTAGTAAGCAAGATGTCACTTTTGACATTGCTCACTACGTGTGAAATCTGTGAATGATCACAGAGGTCACATGGTACAAGGCTATTCACAACAGCCTTGTACCATGTGACCAATCACAGCTCTCACAGTATTTCTCAATGGCTGCAAGAATGCAGCCAGAGAGAAAGAGAAAATTATTGCTTTTACAGCCTTTATGGGTGTAAAAGCAATCAGTGTAAAAAAAAAAAAAAAATCATCACCCCCCACAAGTAGTACAGTGTCACTATAGTGACACTGTACTGCTAGGGTGACAGTATGTTAAAAAAAAAATTATAATTATTGGTTATAAACTAATTTGGGTTTTTTTTTTTACTAAAAAGATAACTGAATACATTTTGGCCAAGATTTATGAAGTAAGATTATTTGCAAAAAGTAAGAAACACTTTTTTTCAAAATTTTTGGACTTTTTCATTTATATAGCAAAAAAAAATAAAAATCCCAGTGGTGAATAAATACCACCAAAATAAAGTTTTATCTGTCTCAAAAAAATGCTAAAAAATTCATATGGGTACAGTGTTGCATAACTCTGCAATTGTCATTCAAAGTGTGATAGCAATGAAAGCTGAAAATTGGCCTGGACAGGAAGGGGGTGAAAGTGTCCAGACTTGAAGTGGT